GGAGATTTGTTGATTCTTCAATTTTCACATTAATCCCAATAAGAGTTCTTTGTTCCCAATTTCTACTTTCTTAATCAACTTTCCAAATTTAGAGAATTATCCACCTTCTTGGGAGTAGTTACAGGGATTGCTCCTCCCCTAAACTCCATCCTACTTCACTTCACATCTTGCACCATTACTCTACACAGGCAGCACCAAATTCTCCCTCTTCCTCCTTTCTTTTCGGCATTCAACTTTAGCCTTCCTCCCAAGGCAGGTATAACTGTCTTTGTGACAAATGTAATTTTTAAAGCACATGGGCAAAATGGCATAGTTTCATTATAGTCATTAATTTTAATTCTTTTGTTTTCTCAAAGAAGAGATAAAATTATTTCTCCATTCTTGGACTTATTTATGTATAGCAAAAACATAAACCAGATCACCTACTTGTCTATGACAGGGTCTATTTTCATAACTTCGACCATCAAAAGGGGTTCATTCCTTGTTTACATTTCCCAATTTGTTTTCGTCAGCAAAAAATATAAGCCCTATCTATCTCTCCCTTTTATTAATGATACTTGTTTGCCTAAATTCTCAAGGAAGGGATAAAATTGTTTCTCCATACTTGGGCTGATCTTTGTCTAGTGAAAATATAAATCAGATCTCCTACTCGTCAACTACAGAGTCAGTTTTCATAACTTTGACTCTTAAAAAGAGTTTGTTCTTTGTTTAAATTTCTCAATTTGTTTTTGTCAACAAAAATATAAGTCCTGTCTGCCTCACTTCTTGCTAATGATATGTGTTTTCTTAATTCCTCAAGAATATAAAACCATATCTCCAAATCTGTTTTTGTTCACATGCCAGATTCTTGATAGATAAAAAATAAACTTTAGGAGGGAAGAAATCCAGACAGTCCCATTTTCACCAAAGAAAATATCTCCACTCTCTCTCTCTCTCTCTCTCTCTCTCTCTCTCTCTCTCTCTCTCTCTCTCTCTCTATCTATCTTCCAGCTTACATTTCATTTTGGGCTTAACCCTTTCCTGCTTAGAATCAACACCTAACCACCTCATGGTCTCAGTCTCACACCAGTAGTTATATCAATGCCACATTATGAAGAAAATTTTGTATAGTGACATCAAACTCTCCATAATGAAGAATCCCTGCTGTGACATGATTTTAGGCCATGATTTTCTTTGACAATATTCCTCTGCTGAGATTCTCTTTGAAGGTTTGAAGGAGTGAAACCAGTTCTTAGCATTTGCAGCCTAATGACAATTAATGTTCAGTACCCATTGTTGTTCAACAATATAATACTCAACAGCATGTATATAGCAATGAAATCCAGAAGGTACTCACCAGGTGAAAAACAGTTTATAAAATCAGAGGTTACACGAATGCTTAGCGAAAGAATCATCAAAGCTCAGGTACTGATAACATCCTTCAAGAACCAAAAGAAAAGACTGGTAATCAACTACTTGCAAACCATTAATAGGTTTTCATTTATAAAGTATAAATGAATATATAAATATAATTTTATAAAAATTCATCATTGTATTGATGAGATGGTAAATGAAATTGCAAAATATTGTATATACTGGACCTTGGAGTGCCTATCAGCAAGTGGCAATCAAACCAGAAGATCGGCTCTACATAACTTTTGAGGTAAAAGGTCATCTCTAACAGTTTCAACCAGGTACCGTTCAAAGTAACAAACAGTGTCACAAGCTTCCAAAGAATTTTTAGAGATGAAAAGTTGGGAGGAACTTTCACCTACATCAATAACATGATAGTATGACTCTGAACATAACAACCACTCCAATGATAATTGCAACCTGAAAAGATTTATGGTGGTGGTAAACAAAAATAACTTCACACTAAATAATAATAAATGTTCCTTTAGCATAGACCATATTAACTTATTGGGGTACACTGTGAACAAGGGCTCTATGACACCAGACTCCAAACAATGAAAATCCCTATTGAGGTTGCCAATTCAGATTAATATGCATTCCTCTCAACAAGCTTTGGGAATGTTTACCATTACTCTCAGTGGATTATGTCCTTTTCAGAGAAGAAAAGCCCATTGGTACAAATGAATAGCTTTCCCTTGTCATCCATGGCAATTGAAGCCTTCAAAAATTTAAAAAAGGATATAACCAATTCCACAATGGTTGTCATGGACCCTGCTTTTCCCTTTGCAGTGGAGACAGATGCATTTGATAGTGCCGTTGCTGCTTCATTAAAGCAATCTGGCCATTCTGTTGCATTTTTTCAAGGACCTTGTCTCAATCTGAACAGCATTGAGAAAATGGAGGTACTACCTAATTGTGCACCATTTCAGACTCATTACTGACAAAAAGTTTGCTGCATTCATGTTTAACACCAGGACAGCAAATAAAATAAAAAATAGAAAAAATAGCAAGATGGAAAATTAAACTCTACTTTTTTACTTGTGACATATATCATCATGGTAAAGAGAATGCCACAGTAGATCATAAAAGCTACCCAACCATTTGAGAGATTGAACATAGATTTTAAAGGCCCTCTACCATTGACATATGCTGACCGTCATTGACAAATATTCACGATTCCCACTTGCATTTCCCTGTCCCGACATAACAGCAAACTGATACAGTGTTTATGCTTCTTATTTGCCATTTTCGGAGTTCCAGCATATATTCACTCAGATCATGGAGCCTCTTTCATGTCAGAGCAACTGAGGAAATTCCTACATGAACTGGGGGTGGTCCCCAGGGTAACAGGCAATGTGAAAGCTACAATGGCATACTTTGGAAAATGGTACAGTTAGCTGCCACAAACTGCAAATGACCAATCACCCAATGGGAGAATTTCCTCCCTGAGTCACTGTATACCATCTGAACTCTTCTATGCACAGCAACAATTGCTACATCACCTGAAAGGTTTCTCTCTTTTCAATGAAGAAGTTCAGCTGGAATCTCAATCCCTTCATGGCTCTCAAAACCTGGAGTGGTCCTGCTGAGGTACTACATCTGACACAATAAATATGATCCACTTGTTAAATTCTTCTAGAGATATTATCCAGGCATCAGAAAGTTTGTTCATTCATGAATTCACCAGGTAACTCAAAGTCTTCCCATTGAGAGAAAAACAACTCGTGAAAATTGAGCTACATTTGAACCAGCAGGGGAAACAGGTTAATTCAACAATGCATTAGTTTTTATAACCAGGAGGATGTAAGTACAGTCCCTATATGAGGTAACAAATATTCTCCATAGAATAGAACTTAACATTTTCATCCTCTTTTTTTTTCTTAAAAGAAAAAGTAAAAATAGTCACAAAAAAAAAATAAATTTTAGATAAGTTATCAAACTACATCAACTTATTCATGGGATTCAAAACTTTTTTAGATGGAACACCAGTCTTTGTAAGTGAATCAGCAATTTCATGTGCCCTGGGGACCCACTCGGCAGAAATGATATCACTCTTTTTTAGTATTTCTCACAGGATGGCTGCTTCAATTCACAGCCGCTTGTCCAATAACTGATACAACAAATGCTGTAATCTTTAACTTAAAAGCAGAATATAGTTTCTTAGAGATCACAAATTTTCTAGAAGTCATCAGATCTTTAATTTACAAAGTTCAGAAAAAGCTGGGTGACATAAACAGGAATGTTTCATTAGTAGTTAAGGGAATGAAACATTCACAGTTCTGACACCATCATTACATCTAAATTCATAAGACAGGTTCTGAACATCATGGATGAGAATGCCAGAAAATCAATGGTGATTGCAAATCTCCAGAACTGTGGTTCCCAAAGATGTCCAAGTTGTATATAATGTGTAAAGGGCAAATGATTCATGCAAAGTGGATGCTTTACAAGATTAAAGACACAGATGAACATGGAATGATTTAGTTTTTCTTGGGTGAAAAGAAAATGATCAGGACCAAAAGGTGAACAGGTGAAATGATAGGTGACTGTGTACAGACACTTTTAATGTCCCAAAGCTTAGGCACACTGAGTTTCCAGTAACTGTAATGGTGTTTGAAGTTGTGAGAGAGATGTCTTGACTCTCCACTTCTTTTCATAAGGCCTTTAAGTTAATGCTGCTGGCTACATTGAGAAACAGTTATTAAACCCTGGATAGGCAGAGTATGCAATAGATGGTTGTATTAATTTCAGAAAGACTGCTCCTCTTCATAAAACTTGAGTAACCCAAAAAATGGATGTCTGACAATTTTTGTGATCATGAAACACCTAACATGTGGCTTCCAAACTCACTGGATTTTAACCTTCTGGACTACTGTGTATGGAGTATTGTTGAAGTTAACCAACATCCCTATAATACTAAGGATTCTTATCAAGACAATGTGTTAATAAACAAAAGCCACTTGATTCAGACATGCCAATGCTTTCAATCCTGCATCAAAGTGATCTGATGCTGAATGTGAATATATTGAATAAATTTTTGTAACACTATAACGGCTTATATGCTTGTTTTTCCAAAAGCTCAATACCCAACACACCATATATGTGTGTGTGTGTGTGTGTGTGTGTGTGTTTCTAACCACATGCTATAACTTAATGTTCTGGTTTATGATTAATAGCAATATTCAAATTTACTTTATTTTTCTATTTTAAGAATGACTACATTAAAGAATGTAAAAAAATTTTAAAAATAAAAAAATGAAAGAGTTTTTTAGAATTTCCTACTCTTCTGAAACTGCATAAAGTTTTTCTTTCTCTACTTTTATTTTCTTGATAAAGATGAACTAATGATGTTTTAAAACATGATATGACTGACCTGAAAACTGTTCTTAATAACAATACTTACTCATTGATTAACATGAAATTGTTTTTCCTTGGTATTTGCAGCACTAAGAGTATTTCCAAGAATGAGACTTTTTAATAAGCTAATCAGCCTCCTGATTTTGATTCTTATTTTTGGCATTCTTCTCGTCATCATGAATATTTACGAATTGCAAAAGGTTCATGAAGAGCAAAATCGTCTTGATCAGAAATCACCGAAAAGCTTGGAAATGTACACTAATAAAATTTACAGCAAGGAAAGAGTGTCAGAGAAACCAAGCCCAGTTGTTTGGATACATGGGAAAAAGGTGAAAACCTGATTAATATTTTTCTTCTTCATTGCTTTAAATTTTTTTCATTCTTTATGAGCCTATTATTTTCAAGTATTTTATTTATAGAATTACAGAACACAATTGGGGAACAGTTTTAAAATTTTAATTCAAATATTAAATCATTATATTAGTTCCCAGGGTCACTTTTTGTACATATTTTGCTATTGACAATACTAATATTTCAATTTTATCAAATCTTTCCCAAAATATGTTCAGCTGGGAAGAGATGTAAACCAAAATTTCCTTGTTCATATGAAAAGCGTGCAAATACAATTTTGTTCTCTTGTATATTATAGCTTAAATAAGCAGATATTTTTATAAATCATTAATTGTGTCTATCAAAAAAATAATTACAGTACTTATTCATTTTTTTCTCTCGAACTTGTAATATATATATATATATATATATATATATATATATATATATATATATACATTATGAGCTTACTTTCAAGTTTTGTTTTACTATATGCAAAAAAAATATCTTTAGCTGTTTGCTACTTGTTTCTTTTCTTTTTTAAAGTATAAATGAATGAATATATACAAGGTTTACTGGAAAAAAAACGAGTGCATTAACACCAACATCGAAGAGGGAAAAGTCAAAAATTATACACACTCTTATATAAAGATATCTTATGGCAAAATTTTTAACTTGCCCTCATAAATTTTTTTTTTCTCTTTTACTTAAAAGAGTAATTGTATCCACTGTAATTAAACAGTTGGTTAGCAGTTATATTGTGACACTATTTAAGTGTTATTAGTATTTAGAAGGAATATGACATAGGATTAAGAAAAGAGTTCATGTGAGAATTCTGGATAGAATTGGAGCATTAGAAGGGCTGCAATGTGGAAATTATTGAAGTGAAAACATTGTGATATGAGGTCAGGAAAATATTTATGAAGCATGATTTTCCTGACAGCACAGAAAATTATTTAAAAATCAACAATATAAAACAATGGGACTTGTAATCTGTTGTTTTGGGAAATAAGATTTCATAGTTATTTGTTAAATGTCGATAAATTCCATTAGCCAATTTGTCATTGTTTTTTGTTTGGTAAGAACAGCAAAATGTAAACAATTGGTGATTGTTTTGAAAATTGGCAAAAGAATTTGTTGAGGCTAAAAAATTAGTGTTTGGAGAAAGGGAAGGATTTCTAAAAGCAGAGTGAATTCTTTACTGGTGTGGAATAAATTTTTATATACAAAAATTAATTTGTAAACAATGATTGTAGAGTAACAAAGGAATATAAAAACAAAGTTACATTGTTTTGAATATTTAAGCCATTATCAATGATCAGGTATTGTCACTCCAAGGTTGAGGAAAATGAATATTAATGAATCTGGAGGTGTGGTTAGTGTTATGCAAGATGCATATAAACCGTACACTATTTAAAGCCTGAGAGATAGATTAGGAGCAAAGAGTTGGAGCAGTTGCAGTTGAGTGAGAAGTGACCCAAGGGTGCTCAAGCCCAGTGATGAAGAAGTCACATGTCCTGCTGTCAAAGAGAACTGTTGAGCAGAGTACTGTTGATGTCAAGCCAAGAGAATAGTTGACATGGTAAACTGATGACTTGAAGTCTCAACGACATTTTTGTGATTTATTTTTCACATTTCACCAGCAGGAATATCTTTATCCTTTGGTTCTCATAGCAGGGTTCTGCAAATGTGATTCAGTGCTTAAGTGCAGACAAAAGTTTGATCTTCATTACATTGTGATCAATCAGTTACAACAAGGGACAAGGTAGATCAAGAACTGAAGTGGTTGACAGATAACAATTAGTTGACTGGTACCAGTACTGACCAGCATGGGAAAGACCTTGGATCGAGTCAGGCTGGCTATGTTATAATATATGTTATAAAAAAACGAAAAGTTCTTGATCTGACCCACTTCCCAAGATATGACCAAATATCAGACAGGCCAAGCATATCAGGAAAATTAATGATACAAAATATCCTAGTTGGAACAAATCAAGGGAAATAAAAGAGCAAAAATTCTCTACATTCAAGTATTTATCAATTATTTATTTATATTTATAGTTATTTATATTTTAATTCATACAGTTAATTGTTAAAATATCATCCAAATGTCTATATAACTACAATAGAAATGTCTGCTATACTTGGATTGATTGTAAGTTTTTGCCTTAGGTTCACAAGTAAATAATTTGAGAATCTTAGTTTACTGTCAACTGAGTCACTCTATTGTGAAAATTATATTCTTAGCAATTCTTTTTTCCAAACTTATTTAATTATTTCATATAAAACTTATCTGAAACAATAAGTCAAAGAAATTCTCATTATTTTCTTTTTCTTAAAAACTAACAATTTGAATAAGATCAAAGAAAAAACTAACCTGGACTAGGAAGATTGAAAAATGGACATAAGTGCTATTTGATTTTGGCCAATCATATCTTTATGGTTTAACTCATTCTAAAATTGCTTTTCTAGAATTAAACTTTAAAACTTTTTTTAGAAATAGGTACAATATGTTTTTTTTATTTCTTATTATATTATTGTTCATCCAATAAAGGATCTAACAGCCACTCAAGTTAGTTAAATAAAGCTGTTGCAAGTGCATAAGAGGGGGAAATAAGAAATGCAGATTATGAGGATATGTAGGATAGATAATGGTTTAAGAGTATAGTGATTGGGGAAACATCCTCTGAGGAGTGTGTTCCACAAAATTCTTAGTTCTTGGGAAGAAACAAAGTGGAACTTCCTCCTTACCAATGGAATATGAAGGGAATGAGCTGATCCTGAGTACATACAATGGTAGATCCTATCTGTGAAGGGGGAACTGAGGAATGTAGCTTTTCTGAATATTTGCCATGAAACAATGAAAATAGAGTAGTGAGAGTCTGTGGGAAATGAATTGTATGATAGAACATAATTTATCATCCACAGGACCGCATAAAACTTTGTATATTATTTCACTGAGATCAGTTTATTCAAAGAAAAAATATTAACAAATATTCACTTTGTTACTTTAATAATAATATAAAGTAATAAATCAATGAAAATATTAATTAAAAATATTAGCTAAAATATTATAATTTCATTAATAATAAAAATTAACAATTATTACAACTTAATTAATAATATAAAATAACAACTTCTATATAAACCATAAAAAAAGAATTTAATTTCAAAGGAAAAAACATTTACAACTAGAAGAAAAATCTACAGCTGAAAAAAATGAAAGACATAAAACAAAAGCAAAATTTTATGAACAAGTGCATGTAAAAGAATGTTAAATTCATGAATACATATGTGTACAAAATGGAGTAAAAAAGTGGATTAAAAATATGTGGAACAAATTGAAAAAAAAATTGAAAATACTGTTTAAAACCACAACCCCAGAAGATTGGAAATTTTACCAAAAAACTTCAAAGTCAGAATAAAATTGATATTTAAATGTTAAGTAATCTTTTCATATAATATATATATATATATATATATATATATATATATATATATATATATATATATATATATATATATACACACACACAATAAAATGGTATACAGATTTAACTAGAATTTACTTAATTAGCAGTGTCCAGAAATGTGATTATAATTACAAAAAGAGAATATTAATCTGAGAAACAATGATTTTGTAACTGAAATAAAGTATTTTATTTTACACAAAATCGAGTATGTTGATTCTAAATCCATAGATCTCAAATTGAAGTTTCCTTATCTTATATTAATTACCATAGACCAAAAAACCCTTTCGTTTATTACTCAGACAATTTATGCTGTACTAAACTAAATCAAGTATGCAGAAAGAGACCCTGTATTCAGCATGTCAATTTTTTGAGATATGGGGAGTTATCATAGTTTTATCCAATGTACATATATTAATAGTATATTATCTACTTGTGCTGGCAGGCATGGTATTCATTTGTGTTAGTTGTACAAAAATTTCTTGGCCCTAATAAATATGAAAATTGTTGATTTAAAAGATTTGGATACCAGATGAAGTCTCTTAAAATGCATTTCTTTCACTGAGCATGATGAGAGATTTCTGAAATGGAATCAAAGTATCAAAACCAGTTTAATCCAAACATGTATGACTACAGCTGGTTCCTGTAATGGGAGAGTAGCATAAGTGTTTCAAATATTTCTGAAGATTTCAGAAATAAATGTGTATTTTTTTTTGGTTATTTCCTATAAATTTGCCTTGAGCGTAAATGTGTTATTTATTAATATAATATTTGCCTTCAACATAAAATATTTTATGTGCATATCTCAAAGACCGCATATGCAATTACAGTTCTGAGTATAAATTTGAAATCAGTGTATGATTTACTTGGGTAGCAGACAAAGATTTTTTTTACCAAGTGTTATTCAGCTCAGGATCTAGTGAAAGAATGTTAATGAAGGTATTTGAAATTACATTGAAAGTCATTGACTAATCCAGCTCAATATCTTTTTCTCAGTTATTCCAGTTCTTTTACTTCAAATATGACCATAACTGTTTCTTGTAGGATAAGTGTGCAAATTAAATTGTAATCACTATAACAGGATGGTTTTCACATAAACTAAACTATTGGCCATTCTTATTAAATTTTGTCAAAAGATTTTCCCCTTTGGTGCAGCTAAATCAAGGTTTGTTTTTCTGCTATAACAAAGATATAAATAAATAAATTTAAACCATATGTGGCATAAAATAGCAAGCCAGTCAAATTTTCTTCAGTGTTTGAGAGATAAAAAAACAGAGTGGGGAAAAAACAGTAAAAAAAATTGAATAGAAATGGTGATTAAATAATAAATATATCACTGTTAATAAGTTCATGAAATTGCAATACAAATGAATCTCAACAGATGATTATATAACCTCATTTTATTTTCTGAGTTTTCATGAACATAATTCCAATATTAAATGAAACACAAACATACATAATTCATGATGAATTAGCTTACAGAGAATATGATATCTTGTTACGTGAAAGAACTAAGCAAAGGTAGTATTGAACTAATTTAAAATCAGTTATGATCATTTTTTTTCTTTTTTGTATTAAATTCAAACATGTCTGTGTTAGAAATACATTTCTGTTCAAGATATGGCCAAGAAATAATGTCTTCAGTCTTTCTTGATGCTTGTCTATTTTTTGCTTCCTTTTCAGGTAGAAACTGGATATTTAAAGCATGTATTTAATATATTTAAATATCTGGGTTATTCAACATATAGTCAACCAAAATTAAATTGGGATGTACTATGGACACATGATTACCCATTTTTGGAACTTGTTGATGATCTGACAAAATTAAAACCTCATCAGAAGGTAAGATTTAACACAGTGTATTTTTGTTAAGTTTGTAAATAATAACTTAAGAAAAAATGCATATGTTGCATCCAATCTTTAATCTTTAAGAACCTTTGAATGGATGTGGGGAAAATGGCAATGAGAATTTCAGATCCCAAATCAGAAATAAGGTGTTGTAATTCCATCAGTCTCAAAAGTTCATGGTCAAAAATACCAGGGACGTAAAATAAAAGGAGTAAAAAATATCCACAACTTGCAACATACAACTACTTACTTCATCCATGAAGAACAGACGATAGAGAATATACTACTGTATTCCAAAGTAGCATTCGTTTATGGGTAAGAAAGGCTGTGATTGGTTGAGATTGGTAGACAAGTGAAAAAATTGTCATATTTCAAGGCCTTACTAAAGTAAACCCAATCTGGATTTTGCTTTTCTTTTTCAACAAAAGGCACAGACAATGAATTTTTGAGGTAAGATTTGGTTTATCTCTTTTGTCACCATGATGCAACAATTTCACTGTTGTCTTTCTGAATAGGATAATTCATAGATTCAAATAACAGAATTTAATACTGCTCATCCAATGTCTAATATAAATCTAATAAAGTTGCTTTACATATAGAGAAAGCACATATTTGAATTTATATATAGTTGATTTTAAGAATTCATTTATTACATATTTAAAACAATATTTGAAAACTTTCTGAATACTGGATATGACATACACCCAAGAAATGTATGTACAACAGCCAAAATATCCAAATGATCAAGCAAGAAAGAAAAAATGTGGATGCTGATCCAACTGATTATGGAATAATAATATCAACTCATATCAAAATGTGTATAAGTAATTCCCTAGTTATTCCCCGCTTCCATTCTAAGGAGTTCTCCCATTTAGGAAAGACCCCAGTTCCTGTAATGATGAAGCAATAAATCTCTGTCATTCAACACTCTGTTGTCATCTTCTATCATTATAAAATATTTATAATGAAACATGGTGGCAGCTGGTTGCTAAAACACACTTCTTAAAAAAATTACCGGTTATCAATTCTACTGTAAGTTGTTTTCATAACATGTTTTGCTTTGCCTCTCTCTCATATCTCAATAGATGACTACAAGACTGTTTTTCCATGGCCAATTTCCCATCAAATCAACTACACTCCTTCAGTTAATTTTGTTTTGTTTTTCTCAGCCCTAAGAAGGGCAGAAATATTGTTAACAGATGACCTCTTAACTACTTCACACATCATGCCAGGCTGGTTTCTCTAGTGGTCATATCACTTCTCTTGTCATCCCTCTCTCCTCTAGTTCAGATCTCTGAACTTTTGACCAGTCTTTTCTTCTTCTTTTTAGTTGAGAGAGAAGTAAAGAACAAGAAGGATTAGAGAGAAAGAGTGAGAAAAAAAGAGTTTTAAAGAAAAGCAATTACCTTATTTTAACTTGAATTCTTTTTATTTCGTTTATATATTTTATTTTCATATTTTATTTCTATTGGGACTCACAAGTGTATGTGAATATCAGCAACTTGGCGCACTAATTTAAATGAAATTTATTTATTCATTTCTTCTGTAAAATTTGTTTTGGCCCAAATAATTGAAAAGAAAACAACAGAAACTTGACAACATTATTAGAAAAAAAGAGTTTATTAATTTCTTTACTCATGACTATTTAGTTTTTGTTTATAAAGAAAGAAAATAAATCCCATAAAAATCCTGGATACTCAACATGTCTTAGCAATGAAGCTGAACTGAATTTTACTCAAACAACAAAATGTATTATTCTGATCAAATTAATCTTCACTGGGGTTGTTTTTGTTATTCTTTTGCTATTATTCTATAACCTAGAACAGCATAGAAACAGCAGAATATTGCAATCAACACAGTTGAAAAAAAAAACTTAGCAGAGATTTTTATTTTTATATAATAAAAGCTGAAGAATGATTTTAGTGACTGAAGTCTTTGTCTTAACTTCCTTAGTTAACTGTGCATGAATTTAAATATAAATATTAAATGAATTGTAATGGTAGAGGTGTTATGTTATGTATCTGTTATTAGTGAAGATGACAAAGGAGCTAGGTACAATAACAACTTTATTGTTTAGTCATCATTACAAGTGCTCTTCTTTGTTTCTGGAGAGTTACCTAAATAAGGGGTCATATTATAAAGGGGAATAGGGAGAGTGTTTAAACGTAACATCTCCCTCCTTATGGAGCGAAAGGATTGTTTCTTTAGTTTAGGGGTGGGGAATTGTTTGAAAGATGGAGTGAGTATTGTCATTCAATGTATCTTGCAGGCCTTTTTATGACTCGACATATGGGTTTCCTTCTGATCCTACCTCATTCTCTCTGATTATTTCTTTTTCAGAGGTGAGATTTTCTTCCTCTGACTAGTCATTCAATGCCAGTTGCTGTCATGAGGATGAGTTTGCTGTTCATGTTGTTTGGTTAAAGAACTGCCTGTTGTGATAGTATCTCTGTCTGTTCCATTTCACAATTTTGTATGATCAACCAGTCAGTTTGTTTTTTATTGTAGTTACTTCCCACTCTATTGAGTGCAGGCTCATCGGCTGGACCCAAACAGTGTCATCAATCTGAAGTTCTTTGCTTGTGCTATGTTGCCTCAATTTCCTTTTTTCTTTATTTTGCACCTCCTCACATGAGTATGGATAGCTAGGTTTTAGCATAATTTCTGCAGCTGGCATTATGGACTTTGTGCATCGACCAAACAGGCTGCTCCCAACCTATACTCACACACATTATTCTCAAATGGGAGATCTTTGTGTGCATCATAGGTAGGCAAGCAGAGCTGCTCTGCTTATCAGGTCCTTGGCCCTGTCAAATGCTGATTGTTGGGACTCTTTGTCAAGTTATGGAGAGGTTTTATAACTGTCCTGAGATTTGGAATAAATTTCCCGACTTAATTGATCATGCTAACTCTGTACAAGGCTCCCACCATTTCTGGGGCTCTCATGTCTTGGATGGCCCTCACTTTTTCAGGGTCAACTACAATGCCCTCCCTGGTAATGCAATGTCTCATGAAGGTTATTGCATCCAAGCCTATTTCCAGTTTCTCAGGGTCGAGCTTCTCCCAGTGTGCAACATTTTTCCAGTAGTGCCCGAAAATGCCTGTCATGTTCTTTTTGGTTTGTGCCCCATATGACCAAATCATCAGCAATAATGATGACCTCCTTCTATATCTTGAAATTGTTCCAACATTCATTTTTGGAATATCTCTGCTGTTGAGTTCAGCCCAAATGGCAAACTGCCAACGAAAACATCCAAAGCAGGTTTGAAATGTTGTGAGGTCACTGGATGGCTCGTTCAGTTTAATGTGCCAATAGCCTGATGATAAATCAGCCTTAGTGAAGATTTTGGCATCCTTCATCTCATGGAGCACATCTTCCTGTATGGGTATAGTATAATGCTCCTGCATGAGTGCCTTGTTCAGTTTGTGGGGGTCAAGGTATATTCTCAGAGAACCATTTTTCTTTTTAGTTATCATTAACTGGCTGACTCATTGTACTGGTTCGATTTAGTAAGTCTCTGTAGTTCCTGCTTCATCAGAGGTGGCACAGAAATGAATGCTCTTTGATTAGCTATCACCACAGGCATCACTTTTAATGTTGTCATTCCTGTTAGTTTGCCTAGATTATCATCAAATACCTAATTGAATTCAGCATCCAGGGCAACAGCTGCCACACAGTGAAAATTCTTCTTCTTTATTTTCACCAGGTCCATTTGTTCACTTGCTCAGAGGCCCAGCAGAGTCTGACAACAATCTTCATCTGTGAAGACAAGGAACCTGACTGAGTACTTTTTATGTGTTTTGAGGTTCTTTATGGTTCTTCGACAGAACCCAAGTGGTCTTATAACACATCGACCAGACTCCATTATATGGTTTTATTTCTCTAGCAAATTTTGCTGGAAGTATGTTGACTGTTGCCCCAGTATCAATTAGAAAGGTGACTTCTTTCTTATCCAGCATCATAATGCATTTGGCATCTCTCAATTTTTCTCTTTGTTGTGACTGCATTCACCTATTATGTATTGTCTTCCTCTTCTTCAGAAGAGGTGGTGCTGAAGTAGTGAACATGAGATTTCCAATGTTTCTTTGTTGATCTTCACTTCTCTGTTGGGACATTGCACCTCAAAATGCTTTTTTATGACATGTTTTGAAAGATCTGCTATATGCAGGACATTTGTCTTGTCTGGGTATGTGCATATAGCCACAGAAATGACAGTCTTTCTTTGCATAATTCCTCTTAGTGTCATATACTTTAAGCACCTGGGCTTTCTCTGCTCTCATGCCATTGCTAGAGGTGGAGGCCTTCTCTGCTACCTTTCACATGTCAATGCACCATTTTTATTTTGATTAAGTCTTGTCTGGTGCTGGGGTCACATATACCAGTAACGATTTGGTCCTTCATCAGCGAGTCTCAACATTCATCACAAAAATTATATGTCCGTGAAAGAGTTCTGAGACTGCTATAAAAACTGTCAAATGATTCATCTTCATTCATATGTCTCATTGGTGATACATATTGTGTATTCCTCAAAGGCATCTAATATTTCTTGGATAGTGCACTTGTGTACAAGTGTTGCAAAATGCATGTTCTGATATATTTTCATTGCGTCATTGCCCTGGTAGTTCTCCAGCATTGCTACTTGTATTTCCCTGGGTTGGTGGCCTAGCTCAGATAGTGGAAAGTAGTTTCTCTCTGATTCTTGTCCCCATTCCTGTTATCTCTTGTTGAATCCCTGTCTTGTTATCACAATGTTGGCGGAAGAAACAGTAGATGCTACCTCCACGGGTATGTCTGGTCTTCCTGAACATTTAAATTTTGGTGCCAACAAAGTGGAGTCATGGAAACTATTCCACACCATCAGCGATGTTATCAGTACTGACATGCCAATTTGCAACAGAATAAAAACAGTAAATAAAAACAGCTTACTGCATGGTTGACAACCTGTAGTCTCTTCAAATAGTAGAGGTGTAATTCAGTAAACCACTGTGCTGCCACCATGTTACATTATGTATTTGTTATTAGTGAAGGTGACAAAGGCACAATAACAACTTTATTGTTTAGTCATAATTATATGAAGTACTCCTCTCCGTTTCCAGAGAGTTACCTAAACAAGGGGTCATAATATAAAGGGGGTCAGGGAGAGTGTCTACATGTCACAAAAGGTTTTCCTTTTCCCACTTTTGTTTTTTCTTTTACAGGTAAATCATTTTCCTGGATCAGGTTTTATTACAAATAAAGTGAATCTTGCAACAACACCATTTGACTTTGTACCCAAGGCATTTAAAATTCCTGCAGGAATAAAAGCTTTGAAAGCACATGTAAGTAGTTTGCAAATTTTTCTTCTCATGTTCATTGTAGTTTTTAGCACTTTTGAGTAATTTATATTGGCAATTCTGCAATTATTTTTTTTTCAAAATTTGTAAAAAATAAATGGTGGAAATAAAATCAGTTAATTTAATACATTTCAAATTATTCACTGTAAAATGTATGTTGTAATGGAATGTCCCACACTCCCTATTGCTTATGTGGACTGACTATATCAGTAGATATATATACCTGGTGAACTTGCTTTGGCGATTAGTTGGAGATTCCTCTCCAGCTGTGAGGTAGACAGCTCCCCGACCCCATGTATACGGGGTTTACAGGGAATTTTTGCCCGAGACTAAGGGCTCAGATACCCCACGTTAAATTCGGTCTTGTGCCACATCTGACCGTGTGGGGAGGTAAAGTAAATACCCTTGCTTCGGCAATTACTAGCCTGCTACCCAATGATTGTCCGTTGTTACATTGGAATTTTTTCTTTCAGTCTAGCCAAAGTTTGCCTTGCTTACAAACTGTTAAATTGATTACTTTATTTTCTTGAACTTTTCAATTTCTCAGATTTCTTATGCCTGTTTTTATTTGTTCACTTTTTTCTTTCTTTACTTCATTTCCTTGTTCTGTTGTTGACCCTCCTCACGTTTTTATTTCAGTTTTAATTTCATTTTTCGTATTTATTTTAATTGCTGTTTTTAGTTTTTACATGCTTATCAACTTTAATTTTCCACGTTCTTGTTTGATTTGATTTTTTGTTTTTCTGTCTACGACTTTATTTTGTGAAATTCATTGTTGAAAAGGTGAACGTTTATTTGTTCAGCCGTGATGGGTTTAAAACCACCATGGTGAAAAATTTACAAACATCGCCAGTTCAAACAGAAAATTCGTCACCATCTGTAAAAAGTGCCTGGGTAGAAAACAGGCCCAAAAAGATGACTTTGCTTATTACAATCAAAAAAGGGCAAAGTATGAAAAATATCTGAAAGGAAACGATTTCTTGACAATTCTAGAGGCTTTAGATGCAGTGAATGCAAGAATAATTTCCCTGCTAACCTCCGACGTAAAGAGTCGGAAATTGACTGGGGTCAGCAGGGAAACCATGGAAGAGATATTAAAGTCTCAATATCGCGCCAAAAGTTTTAGCTAGGAGGTCGAATGCTATTTGTGACATTCTCCTAGCTACAGAGCAGGAGGCGAAAGAACTAGCTGGAAGTGTCTTGGCAACCGCAGCTGTACGAATCCAGATGGAGTACATGGGCACCCGACGGAAAAAAAATACAGTTCATGGGGTGTCCGTGGACATCTATTAAGACCGGATAGGGTCCTTCTTTTTTAAATATGGACCAATAGAGAAAGTATCTTCAATCATCAGCAAATCAGGAATTGCCACTGGAGATATGATGCTGCAGGTGACACTAACCAGGCAAGCATTTGGAGAAATCCCATGTATCTTAGTATGCCGTGACAAGCGAATACTGGTGGTGGTGGAGGGCGCAGACCATACTGTTGGCCTTGCGGAGCTTCTGGGCACATGTCCAAGGCGTATCCAGGTAAGAATATGCAACTTCCACCCTGCTCAACATCAACGACAGCAACAACCACAACAATAGCATCAACAACAGCAGCAGCAGTAGTTACAGCAGCATCGCCAGAGAAGGCCTCCACCCCGTGCTTCATCCTTAAAGAGGAGCAGGGAAGAAGATGATGACATACCAAAACAAAGACACTCTGGACGAAGCAGGCTCCAAGGATATTTACAAAAAAGAGTTAGAAAAGGGTCTTTCTAAACTAAAGAATTCTTTGCTAGGTTTGTTATTTAAGATGACCTCAGTAGACGGCAAGTTCATAGAGGATCTCTGCAATTTCCCTGATGCCCTTGAGGTCATCACTTGCATAAGGGACACTGGGGGCTAGCTCAAGGGGTGGAGTCACCTATACGAGGCCAAGGACGCTTTTCCTAACATAAGGATGTTAGTAGTAGATTCACTGTATTTAAAAAAATAACTAAGGCATTTTTATGCTGGGAGGGTCCCCGTCATACTCCATCCTTCCTTATATAGGGCAGTTAAATTAACCTATCCCATGGACGTCATCGGAATTGTCCTGGAAGGATGGATGACGTCGGAGTTGTGTATAGGGAGCCTGGGACAATCCGTCAGGGTTCTTTGCGCTTCAGATTTCTGCCCGGTATTCGAATAGGTTGACGATTGTTTTCTTTTTCTCGTTTCAGACCTAAAAAGTGTCTATCAAGATAGCCAGTTTGAATGCGAATGACCTGTGGGATCGGAGTAAGACTGCCCGCCTGCTTCGTGACCTCTTGTCATTCGGTGTGGATGTCGCCGTGATCCAGGAAACTCAGTTTGTTTGCAATGTCGATGATTGTGTGCTTTGTCGACTATTCAGTCTATGGGGACCGACTGGCCAGAGGTCTTTCTTTGCTGGTTCGACGTACCCTGGATGCGAGGGTGGACCTTGTTCATATGGATGCCGAAGGCCGGTTGATCGTGGCCAATATTGCCGTGAAAAGTTTGTTTTGGGTCGTTGCGGTTTATACGCCCAACAACCGAGAGGAGCGGGTTTTGTTTTTTCGGCGATTGGGGCTGTTCCTGGTGGATTCAATGCGATTAGTCTTAATGGAGGACTGAAATACCGTCCTGAACCCCAAGATAGACAGAGAGCGGTGAGCTAGCGGGAGGCGGGCAAACGTAGCTTGGTTGATCTGATCGACAAGTCTGGTCTCGTTGATTGATACCAGGTCGATCACTCTGGGGGAAATATGGACGTGGGCTCTTAATTGGCCTTCTACTCGGGTGGTTAGCTACCCGGATAGAATGTTAGTCAGAAGGGCCAACATAGATTTGTTAGATTGCCCCACGTTCCACTGGTTAGGCTATTCGGACCACAAACTCGTTTGTGCCCGGGTGGCGTTAGAACGTAGGCCTAGAATGGCTGGCTACTGAAAGTTCAATCTGTCTTTACTGGACAGGTGGGACTTCCTGGAGCAGCTAACTAGCATAATGCCGTGGGAACTAGTGGGGTGGTTATCGGGAATAGGTGGTGGGAGAGGTTTAAGGATAGGATTAGGCCCTTCACCACCGAGTTTTGTAAACGGCTCGCACTAGACAAGGCTAACAAGGATAGTCTTCCCGAGCGGATGCTGGGGGGATCCCCTAGAGATAGCCCTAGCTATGGAAATCCTGGAGCGTTTGGCTAGCAAGTGCTACATGGACAGGTAATTAGACATGTTAAGCAAGATGCCTTCCGAAACTTTGAACATGGACGCAGAATTGCGCAAGGAAGAGATTCGTCGAGGTTCTGATCGTTACATTCGTGAGGTCAAAATCTTGGATGGGGCGTACTCTCCAGGCCACTGACGACATGTGTGAGGTGTTTCAGCGGCATTTCGAGAGCCGCTTTACCAAGCAGCCTGGTCTCTGTGACGAAGAGTTTCTCAGCTATTTGACTGACTTTTGTCAGACTGAAGCGGCTAGGGTGAGATCACGGAGGGAAAGGTCTATGCGGTATTGAAGAAGGTCGGCAGAGGCAAGTCACCCGGTCTTGGCTTAGCGGAAACGCCTTCGCACGTCTTCTACCATTGTCCTCGGGTCCGCCCCTTATGAGACCATGTCGGCGATTGACAGCACGTATCGCTCCCGCAAAGCTCATGCTCATTGATCGCGCATACGCGTGTGACTCTTGCGAGGTGATTGTCTTTCTCACCAGGATCTAATCCAATTCTTCAGGCATCAGCTCAAGATGAAGATTAGAACTGATAGAAAACGGTTGGTTTTGACAGATTTCAGCGAAAATTGGGTGACTGAAGTGAGTCTGGTTCGTGTGAACGGGGCTAGCCTTGATTTTCTTTTTTAGGTCCACCTAAGTAGCATCAGATCAGGTTCCTGTGGATCCCTCCCCTGGTTAGGCTAGACAAGTTTTGTGTACCTAGTTAATGTGAGTAAATGTAGTTCCGGTCTTTTCCCGGTTGCTTCTTTGGTTATGATCCAAATTGAGATTCCCAACATTGCCGGTTTTTTTTTTTTTTTTTGGTCACATTTTTTCATCTCGATTGGGTCAGAATTCTTCTTTCCCCAAGGCCGTATTTGTTTTATCCTTCCCTCTCCCTTAGCGAGAGAGCCTCTTGATTTCGTCCAAGGGCAGAATGCAGCGGCCTCTCTTGAACGGGTCCAACTAACATCAGTTATCTTTAGTTTGTTTGTTTTGATATTTTAATTTGTTTTTGGGTTTATACCTTCCCCACTCATTGTTCATCATGTATAATTTTTTATCTATTGTATTTTATAATCATGAAATTTTTATGTCATTGGGTGCGTTTTTTAGGTTCCCCCTGAGAGTATGCAGTATTATGGTAGATGGAGGATTGCTTGGCGATGGATGATTTCTTGTGGTGAATGTGCCAAATGTATTGAGTGATTGAGTCGTGAATCGGATTAGCTAGGTATAGGATAGTGACGACCAGCCTTCACCCATTCCCCCTTTTAGGCCTTGTGCCAAAATTGTATATTTTATACAATAATCCTCTTGCTTCGGCAATTACTAGCTTGCTAACCGATTCCCTGTCTTTCAGTAGTGTATTCCCTTTTACAATAAACCTGTCTTTCTTTCAGACGAAAGGAACAGCAACACGGGCGTAGATATGCCCGTGTTGCTGTTCCTTTCTCTCGAGTACCACCTTATCTGTTTGTAACCTTCTATAAGGATACAACAATGTAATTGCTTTAAAATAGATTAATCTTATGACTGATAGTTATATCTTTCTAAATGGTGCAAAATTCAGGGAATCATGTTGAGAATTCAGAGTTTACGGCCACAAGTTGAAAATTCAGAGCTATGGCCACAACACATTGAAATACTGGTTTTCATATGATCACTGAAGTTAAGCAACGTCAAGCCTAGATAGCTGACCGCTTGTGAATACCAGGTGCTGTAAGCTTGAATGTTCAGGTGGTATTGTAGCGATGGTATTACCATTGCTGTTGTGAAC